TAATAATTACTTATTAATATATATATTTAATATTTTAAATTAATTACTATGTATAATTTATTTAATATTTTTAATGTATTATTATAGATTCAGTACAAAATTTTATATTAGAAAAACTTTAAATTTAAAATATATAAAAATATAATAAAAATGTGTCTGGAGTTCTGACAAAAATTTATTCAATAGACATTTGGCAAAAATTTTTGGAATTTATTTATAGTTAATGTTTTTCCCACTCTTTTCTCTTCTATGGGTGCTAAAAGGACTTTTTTTTTTAAGGCCCATTGTGGGATTGACCAGGCCCACATTGGGATGAGGGATGGTGCTCAAAATATGTATGACAGACCACCATCTAAAAATTCCTGGGGTTTTCAATCATTTAGATTTGATCCCAGATCCCCAGGGTGGTAGGCTGACACCTCAACCACCTCAGATCATATAGTTAATGTTAGTTATTGGTTTTAAATTTAAAATGAGATGAATGTTTAAATTTTACATTTAAAAATTGTATTTTATTTTGTTCTATATTTTAAATGATGAAATCATAGCAATAAAGACAAAAATACTTTTATCAAGACATTTAAAAAAATTTTTACATAGTTGTTAGTTAATGTAAAAATGATCAAATACTAATTTCTTAATTTAAAATGATCAATAAACTTTTTTAGATAAATAGATCATTTGGAAATTTTCAATACTAAAGTGAATTATCTAAAAATTAAAATTTCAAAAATAATAATAAATTAAATTGTTATTTATTCATTAAAACTTATTCATAATTTAATTTATAAATTTACTTTATAACTCCTTGATGTTTATTAATTATTAAGTAGTTATATTATAGAATGAATCATACTATATTAAGCAATACAATTAATTTATTGATTAATAAAGAAGTCTTATTGCACAATATACATAAAAATGTATTATATATTATTAATACAGATTTCCTGAATGTTTTTGCTTGTACAGTTATACTCATTTTGAGGAGAAAGCATAAATTAAATGAAATAAAATTATTTACAGACAAAACTGTATTAATTGTTAACAAATAATTCATTTTATTGCTTTATTAATGTGATTCCTTGACTAAATATGAGTTATTTGTGCAAATATACAACAAAGTAACAATAAGAATATATTACTATGATAGTTTTATTGAATAAAATTTACTTAATGATATCATTAATTAATGAACTAAATTAATAACAAACAAGTGAATCTGTCATTTCTTTTGTAACTATTCAGTCATAATATTGTATTTCTCCAAAAAAAATATAGGTTTAAAAATGGCCGTGAAATTCATCCAGCAGGCCGACTTAAAGCTATTGACGGGGATAATGGTGTTTATAAATTTATCATAACTGAAGTTTGGGATACAGATGAAGGAGAATATATGTGTGAAGTCAGTAATTCATTGGGATCAGATAAATGCTTTGCTAGACTTATTATTGCTTGTAAGTAGTCAATTCTGTTTAATCTGTAAATTTTGAATTAGCTTTTAACATAAGCAAACATTTTTAAAAAATTTTAATTTAATTATAGCACCACCTAGAATTGACCAGTTCCCATCAGAAGTCTTCTTTCCAGAACATGATAATGGAAAAATCAAGATATTTTTCTCAGGAACATCTCCTTTTGAAGTAGTCTTGTATAAAGATGGTTTAGAAGTTCAAGCTAGTGACCATTTCAAATACACAGTATTTGATGATTATGCAATTATTTTCTTGCGTGAAGTATTAAAATCTGATGAAGGAAAATATAAAATTGTTGTGGAAAATGAAAGTGGAAAAACAGATGCCACCTTTTCATTATTTGTTACAGGTTATTTTAAAAATTTAGCATTTTTAGATCTTTTATTTTATTTTTACATGTTATTGTACAGTTTTATAAATACATCTATCAGATGCATTCAAGATGTACCTATTAGATAATGCATGTCTATAGATTACTTGCTACAATTTGCATAATTTCAGGGCAATTCATTCCACTTAATTCTGAACTAGAAAGCTAAATAATGTAATGTTTTTATATAATTATGCTAACAAGGAGACATCTAATCTTTGATACCCTAAATTTTGCTGAAATTTTAATGTTTTAAAATATATTAAAATTTCGGCAAAATAGACAGCACATTTTAACCATATCAAATAAAATAAGAATTTTAATTATCATAATTTCATCTAGCTTATTCTGTCATATACTGTATTTACTCGCATATAATGCCAGGTTTTTATTCATTTTTCACTGCTTCAAAAACCTAGGTCATCCTATACACACAAACAAAGGATTCTTTGCGTTTTTTTAATAATTTCTGTGAACTGTGTATACTTCATGCTGTCATTATAGGTCTACAGACTATTTATCGTAAGTTGGCACCTACTGTAAACAAATTAAGACATACATCCCTTTGTTTATTGATTTAATCCTACATCCATCAATTAAAAACTGCATTGCATTTCATTTGTTCACAGAAAATAGTTTCTTGTTATTTATAAAAACATTAATGAAATACAGGTTACTTAGCAATGATTATAAATGTAGTTATTTTATATTAGTTAAATTGTTATTTTTAATGAATATTAGCACATTCTGAATCATTAAAAATAAACTTTTTCCAATCACACAATAATGTTTTGGTTTTGTTTTCACTTCATCACATATTAAGGCAAACATGTGCATTTGATAATATTTTGTGATTAAACAAAATAAAATTAGGATTGTATTAATAAATCTAATTTTTTAATTTTGATCTCTAAAGTCACACCTCGTCCTATGCGCAAGATTGTCTTATACCCGAGTAAATACGGTAATTAGAATAAAAACTAAAATAGAAATTTATTGAGCAGGTTGTTCAAAAATAAAATATATATTATGTATAACAATAGGAACTGAATAATAACATAATAATATCACATTAGTAATGTAAATCTCCAATTTTTCTGCTTAGATCTCAAAAATTAAATTGTTATAAAATATGTAGTTAAATATAAAATGCTTCATTTGTATAAATTTCATTATATATCGGCTTTTATAATTAATTCATTAAACAATAATTTTATACAAACTGGTATTAATAATTTATTTATTTTTTTATTATTTATATTAAATTATTAAATAATTAATTAGCAATTAATCGTAACTAATTGGCTTCTTTTCAAATTTCTTCATAAATTTTTATAATAATGATCACTGAATAGCATGTGTAATGAGAAAGAAGAGAAGGAAAAAAACTACAAAAATATCATATTCCAGTTTGGCAGTTTTTTATCCTGATATTTCATTTTTTCATTAATAATTAATTGCAGTTAACAAAAGAAATTTCGTTATTAAATCTATGTTGACATTAAAATTTTATTGATTTTTTATTATTGATCAAGTTCAGAAGAATAATAAATATTGACTATTAAACACAAGACTGTGTTATTAATTAAACACTTGGCATTTTTCCCTCTTTATTCAGTTGATACGGGTACTTTTACATGTTTCGGGCACATAGCCCCTCATCAGTCAACTGATAAGAAAGAACATATACAATATTGGATTATTACACTCTTAAAAATAAAATTATACAACTCAATTCAAAAACATGTAACTTTTAAAAACATACCATTAAACACGCAATAGATGCAATGACACTTATACAGCACAAGTTCACGTTCTCTTTACAGGTAGGATAAGTTGACTATATCAACGCTATAAAACCTACGTACTGTACATCTAATTAAACAATAAAACACTATATGAATATACAAGCTTATACGGATATAGTACAGAATTATACTAAGTTTGGTCTAGTGTTGTTTCTTACTGTTAAGTAGGCGTAATACATCTTCCATCTTCTTACTAAAGTTGATGAATATATTGGCTGATTCCTTTCCAAGATTGATGGATATATTTGGCTGGTTTCTTTCAATATTTCTTTGGCACATAACAGAATCAGATAAACTTCACTTAACTTACTATAACAAAATTTGTTTTCTGTTCATTACACAATATTGAGCCTGGTTGCTAATTTGCATTTTTAACCAATTTCGATAGTCAGAATTTACATAATATTTGGAATAGCCAAAAGCAGCCAAATAAACAGAATTCACCAAAATATCTTTAAAAAATTTTCTTAAGACGTTCTAAAAAATTTTTATTATTACAATATTTTTAACCAATCTTTGCTTATTTTTACGCTTAGATTTCTATTTATACAATTTTTGGAGTTTATAATAGCCACACTTTCTTTAAATTTCCTACTATATGTATTCTTTTCTTTATATAAGATTTTTACATTAGCTTTATCTATATTACAGTTATTTAGTAGGCAATGATCGTGAAAAACGGAATTTAATCTGTGATATTTCATATCTGCAATATGTTCTTTTAATCTTGTATTTAGTTTACGTTTGGTTTCACCTATATAAATATTAGCATCTTTACAAGTACATGGGATCTCGTAGATCACATTCTTGGTTTCTTCTTTAGTCTCTTTACTTTGTTTTGTACATTTTTTGTTTTTTATTCTGGCTTGAAGTTTTTCGTACTTCGGTGCAAGTTTTATGTTTACTTTCCGCATTTCTTTGTTAATTTCTTCATATAAGCCTTTTATATACGGAAAACTAATGTATTTCATATCTTGGTTTTGTTTCTTCTGATCATGTTTCTTGTTAGTTATTTTATCATTTATTTTCTTTTCCCATGTACTAATTAACAAAATACAAGGCGATTAGGGTATCCATCCAAAATAAATTTCTTTCTTAAGTCATATATATGTTTGGCCATATTGGTGGGCTTGCTGGTTCTGGTTTTAATTTTATTATATTCCATATTAAAGATGTTTTGTTTTATATATAGTGGTATATGAGAATCGTATTTAATGGTTGTATTAATGGAACAAGACTTTTTAAAAGGTTCGAATTCTAAGCTATTTACGTTCCTTTTAATAACAATATCTAAGTAATTTATACTATTGCTGGCAATGTCTTCTTCTTCTATCTTAAACTGGATTCCTTTATGTATATTATTTACAATTACTTCTGTCTGTTTAATTGTAATTTTCGTATTGTCGTACATGATCAGAATGTCGTCTACGTATTGTTTATAAAATTTTATTCCTTGTATTTTGTTAATCTTTTCGTCTATATCTATCATCACTATTTCAGCAAGCTTTGGTCCTATAACAGATCTCATACTGATGCCTTCATTTTGAGTATAATAGTTTCTATCAATTTCGAAATAGATACTGCTATAAGAAAACTCTATTAGGTCTATTAATATAGAACCAGAAATAATAGCCCTAATAGAGTTTTCTTATAGCAGTATCTATTTCGAAATTGATAGAAACTATTATACTCAAAATGAAGGCATCAGTATGAGATCTGTTATAGGACCAAAGCTTGCTGAAATAGTGATGATAGATATAGACGAAAAGATTAACAAAATACAAGGAATAAAATTTTATAAACAATACGTAGACGACATTCTGATCATGTACGACAATACGAAAATTACAATTAAACAGACAGAAGTAATTGTAAATAATATACATAAAGGAATCCAGTTTAAGATAGAAGAAGAAGACATTGCCAGCAATAGTATAAATTACTTAGATATTGTTATTAAAAGGAACGTAAATAGCTTAGAATTCGAACCTTTTAAAAAGTCTTGTTCCATTAATACAACCATTAAATACGATTCTCATATACCACTATATATAAAACAAAACATCTTTAATATGGAATATAATAAAATTAAAACCAGAACCAGCAAGCCCACCAATATGGCCAAACATATATATGACTTAAGAAAGAAATTTATTTTGGATGGATACCCTAATCGCCTTGTATTTTGTTAATTAGTACATGGGAAAAGAAAATAAATGATAAAATAACTAACAAGAAACATGATCAGAAGAAACAAAACCAAGATATGAAATACATTAGTTTTCCGTATATAAAAGGCTTATATGAAGAAATTAACAAAGAAATGCGGAAAGTAAACATAAAACTTGCACCGAAGTACGAAAAACTTCAAGCCAGAATAAAAAACAAAAAATGTACAAAACAAAGTAAAGAGACTAAAGAAGAAACCAAGAATGTGATCTACGAGATCCCATGTACTTGTAAAGATGCTAATATTTATATAGGTGAAACCAAACGTAAACTAAATACAAGATTAAAAGAACATATTGCAGATATGAAATATCACAGATTAAATTCCGTTTTTCACGATCATTGCCTACTAAATAACTGTAATATAGATAAAGCTAATGTAAAAATCTTATATAAAGAAAAGAATACATATAGTAGGAAATTTAAAGAAAGTGTGGCTATTATAAACTCCAAAAATTGTATAAATAGAAATCTAAGCGTAAAAATAAGCAAAGATTGGTTAAAAATATTGTAATAATAAAAATTTTTTAGAACGTCTTAAGAAAATTTTTTAAAGATATTTTGGTGAATTCTGTTTATTTGGCTGCTTTTGGCTATTCCAAATATTATGTAAATTCTGACTATCGAAATTGGTTAAAAATGCAAATTAGCAACCAGGCTCAATATTGTGTAATGAACAGAAAACAAATTTTGTTATAGTAAGTTAAGTGAAGTTTATCTGATTCTGTTATGTGCCAAAGAAATATTGAAAGAAACCAGCCAAATATATCCATCAATCTTGGAAAGGAATCAGCCAATATATTCATCAACTTTAGTAAGAAGATGGAAGATGTATTACGCCTACTTAACAGTAAGAAACAACACTAGACCAAACTTAGTATAATTCTGTACTATATCCGTATAAGCTTGTATATTCATATAGTGTTTTATTGTTTAATTAGATGTATGTAGATTTTATAGNTAACAGATCTCATACTGATGCCTTCATTTTGAGTATAATAGTTTCTATCAATTTCGAAATAGATACTGCTATAAGAAAACTCTATTAGGGCTATTATTTCTGGTTCTATATTAATAGACCTAATAGAGTTTTCTTATAGCAGTATCTATTTCGAAATTGATAGAAACTATTATACTCAAAATGAAGGCATCAGTATGAGATCTGTTATAGGACCAAAGCTTGCTGAAATAGTGATGATAGATATAGACGAAAAGATTAACAAAATACAAGGAATAAAATTTTATAAACAATACGTAGACGACATTCTGATCATGTACGACAATACGAAAATTACAATTAAACAGACAGAAGTAATTGTAAATAATATACATAAAGGAATCCAGTTTAAGATAGAAGAAGAAGACATTGCCAGCAATAGTATAAATTACTTAGATATTGTTATTAAAAGGAACGTAAATAGCTTAGAATTCGAACCTTTTAAAAAGTCTTGTTCCATTAATACAACCATTAAATACGATTCTCATATACCACTATATATAAAACAAAACATCTTTAATATGGAATATAATAAAATTAAAACCAGAACCAGCAAGCCCACCAATATGGCCAAACATATATATGACTTAAGAAAGAAATTTATTTTGGATGGATACCCTAATCGCCTTGTATTTTGTTAATTAGTACATGGGAAAAGAAAATAAATGATAAAATAACTAACAAGAAACATGATCAGAAGAAACAAAACCAAGATATGAAATACATTAGTTTTCCGTATATAAAAGGCTTATATGAAGAAATTAACAAAGAAATGCGGAAAGTAAACATAAAACTTGCACCGAAGTACGAAAAACTTCAAGCCAGAATAAAAAACAAAAAATGTACAAAACAAAGTAAAGAGACTAAAGAAGAAACCAAGAATGTGATCTACGAGATCCCATGTACTTGTAAAGATGCTAATATTTATATAGGTGAAACCAAACGTAAACTAAATACAAGATTAAAAGAACATATTGCAGATATGAAATATCACAGATTAAATTCCGTTTTTCACGATCATTGCCTACTAAATAACTGTAATATAGATAAAGCTAATGTAAAAATCTTATATAAAGAAAAGAATACATATAGTAGGAAATTTAAAGAAAGTGTGGCTATTATAAACTCCAAAAATTGTATAAATAGAAATCTAAGCGTAAAAATAAGCAAAGATTGGTTAAAAATATTGTAATAATAAAAATTTTTTAGAACGTCTTAAGAAAATTTTTTAAAGATATTTTGGTGAATTCTGTTTATTTGGCTGCTTTTGGCTATTCCAAATATTATGTAAATTCTGACTATCGAAATTGGTTAAAAATGCAAATTAGCAACCAGGCTCAATATTGTGTAATGAACAGAAAACAAATTTTGTTATAGTAAGTTAAGTGAAGTTTATCTGATTCTGTTATGTGCCAAAGAAATATTGAAAGAAACCAGCCAAATATATCCATCAATCTTGGAAAGGAATCAGCCAATATATTCATCAACTTTAGTAAGAAGATGGAAGATGTATTACGCCTACTTAACAGTAAGAAACAACACTAGACCAAACTTAGTATAATTCTGTACTATATCCGTATAAGCTTGTATATTCATATAGTGTTTTATTGTTTAATTAGATGTATGTAGATTTTATAGTATTGATATAGTCAACTTATCCTACCTGTAAAGAGAACGTGAACTTGTGCTGTATAAGTGTCATTGCATCTATTGCGTGTTTAATGGTATGTTTTTAAAAGTTACATGTTTTTGAATTGAGTTGTATAATTTTATTTTTAAGAGTGTAATAATCCAATATTGTATATGTTCTTTCTTATCAGTTGACTGATGAGGGGCTATGTGCCCGAAACATGTAAAAGTACCCGTATCAACTGAATAAAGAGGGAAAAATGCCAAGTGTTTAATTAATAACACAGTCTTGTGTTTAATAGTCAATAAATACAAAAACACGGTTTCAGAAAACAAAATAATAAATATCTTAAAAATTTAAATCTAGATTAAAAAGCTAGAGTTACACTATTTTTCTTTGATTCATCATTATCTAAGTAATCTAGAGAGCAAGATAAAAATTTACAAAGATTTTGATATCAGTTTAATAATAATTTTGATTGTTTTAATGTAGAATAAAATAAATACATAGCATAACACAAACATAGTTATATAACACTAATTATTAATAAATTTGATTAATTATTAAACAAGATGTATTAATATTAAATATACTATATGTATATTTTAACATATAGACATAAAAAACATTGTTTTGAAATTTTTCAATAACAAGTAAGAATGAGAATTTATATATTAATATAGCTATATTATAATTAATTGACCAACTTAAAATTATCGTTTTTCATTAACCTTGTAATAATATAACTCCTACATTTTATGCAATCAAATTTAACTTTACTTAACTTTACAAATCAAACTTTACTTAATACTGTATTAGGAACATTTTAAAAATTAAATTGGTGATATACTGTTGATCAGTAAAAAATTACTATACTGTACATAAGTTGTATTGATACAACTGACCATATACTAAACTGAGAAAGTCCTAAATAAAAAGAATGGGACTAATCATCAATCATATTATATTTGAATTTGCGTTAATGTAGGGAAAGTTATTGCAGAGTAATACTCAAGTTTTATTCTTTTCAATAAATAACACTAATTATTTTTAAAAATTTGTATTATAGGATTACCTGGGCCACCTCAAGGACCATTGGAAATATCAGATATCAATAAAAATTCAGCAACAGTGGCTTGGAGTCCACCGAAGTTTGATGGTGGCAGTAAAGTTACTCATTATATTGTAGAACGCAAAGAAACAAGCCATACTCAATGGGTAATAGCAAGCAGTTATTGTAGGGTAAGTATAACAATTTTTTTCTTCAACATTTTATTTTAACATTAATAGTTTAAGTTTCACTTAGCAAATAATATTATTATAATAATTTTAACTTTAGGAAACAACCAGTGTAGTTCATGGTTTGGTTGAAAATGGTGAATATTTATTCCGAGTAATGGCAGTAAATGAAAATGGACATAGTGCACCTCTTGAAGGAATTAATCCAATAATTGCAAAATTACCATTTGGTAATTGAATTAATATGGATTTTAGTCAGACTGTTATATACATGTCATTAATACTGTAATTCAAAATTTTATTATAGACCCACCTTCAGCTCCTGGAGTTCCTAAAGTCACTGAAGTTGGTGGAGATTTTGTGAACTTATCTTGGGAAAAACCAGAATCTGATGGAGGTAACAGAATAAAAGGATACTGGATTGATAAAAGAGAAATGGGAACTCAAGCTTGGCAACAAGTTAATAATTACTTGTGTGTCACTAATCAAATAAATATCAGTAACCTTATTGAGGATAGACAATATGAGTTTAGAGTTTATGCAGTAAATGAAGCTGGTAACAGTCCTCCATCTATGAGTGCTACTGCAGTTCGTATTGTAGATCCAAATGGTATTTAAATATCATTTTTATTCAAAACTTTTTATGTGAACAGTGATGGTAGACAAGATACATTTTTTAATATTTTTCAGCTGCTGTAATTCCTGAATTTGTTGTGCCACTAAAACGAATAATGGCTGTTGAAAACAAAAGTGCTGAATTTTTCTGCACTATAAAAGCAAATCCAAAACCACAAGTTACATGGTAATCTTATAATTTTGTTTTCTATAATATATGTGTATTTGAAAATTAGAAATTATCTTTATAAACTTAATAAAAATTTTTGTAAATTTTCTAAATGTATATATTTTTTTGTGTTTTATATTAACAAATATAGGTGCAAGGGTATGAGAGAAATTTTTGAAGGAGGAAAATTCACAATGTTAAAAGAAGGAGATAATTATACATTAATTATTGCGGATGTATATGGGGAAGATGCAGATGAATATTCCTGCAGAGCATGGAATAAAGCAGGAGCTCGTACTTCAAGAGCTGAATTGCTTATTAAAAGTAAAATAATTATTATATTAATTGAAATAAGATATATTTTAAAATTATTAGGAATTATAAAAATAAATTTTAATTAAGATATTTTTGTATATTTGTTTAATAATTTTAAATTACAATTATTTAGCACCTCCTCGTATTAATGTGCCTCCTCGCTTCCGTGAACTTGCAAACTTTGAAAAGGGAGAAAATGTGATGCTAAAAATTCCATTTACTGGTTTACCTAAACCAAGATTAAAATGGTCTCGAGATGGAGAAGAAATTGAAAGTGGAGGCCATTACGATGTACATATTGCTGAGCGTCATGCCATTTTGACAATTCGTGATGCCACAAATATAGATAGTGGTCCATATCGATTATTAGCAGAAAATGAACTTGGTGTTGATTCAGCAATTATTAAGATACAGATAAGTGGTGAGTATTAAAAAATGTATAAGTTTATATGTATATATATATATATATATATTTATCTCATTTTATTTTATTGTGAGTTATAATATCAATAAGTTTGAGCAATAACTAGAAATTACTAATAATCAAACAATATTTTTATTTATATAATTTAATTTTTAAAATGTCAAATTTAGATAAACCAGACAGACCAAGACACCCAACCATTGATAATATAGGAGATGACTCAATTACGTTATCATGGAAACCACCTGCTTGGGATGGTGGCAGTCATATAACAAGTTATTTGATTGAGAAAAGAGAAGCAACCATGACTAGTTGGATTCGTTGTGGACATACAAGGTAAAATAATATATTAATTTAATTTAATTATTTTAATTTAGTCACAGAATTATGAACCACTAAAATAAAAACAAAAAATTGTGAATCAGCAGATGATTTTTAATTTTTTTTATTTTATTAAATATATACAAATATATGTATTTATATATAATTACTATTATCTACCATCATTTCATAAAAATAGATAGTCTATCACAAAAAATATTACAAAAGATATTTCAAAATAAAAAAAACATTGATACAAAACAATTAGTTTTTAAAATGTATATTTTGAATGCAGAAAAATTACAACATAAAATTATACCATAATTAATAAACTAGAGTTAATAGTGGTTACATTGCAAGTAATTATTTTCTTCAAATAAGTTTGGAAAATTTGAGGTCACAACTCAAAAGTTGGATCATCTAGCAATTCAAAATGAAGCTTGAGAATCTAATTTATTCTGTATTTTGTTTTCATTAACATCATTGCCAAGAATTTAGTCTAACATAGATGCAACTTTGTATATGTTGGTTTATTTAAAAATATAAATTTTGGTTCTTAATTACATTCACTGTGTACCAGCATTTGGGAAACACTGATCTAGAAAAATGTAATGTATTTTTTACAACATAAAATATTGCTTTTCTGTTTATATATAACAAAATAAATTTTAAATTAGAAGGAAGTTGTAAAATGATCTTGAATGATATACTATTAATACTAAACATTTTATTTATTAATATATCATTTCATCAAGGAAAAAGTTTATTTAAATAAACTCTGAATATTTAAACTTTAGAATTTAATAAAGCTGTGTCACTACTAATCAGCTTTATATTTTGAATTTGAAAATGATTGGTTGATTGACAACAAAATTTAATCTTGTTTAGAAACAAATATGAGTAGACTAAAATTATTGAATGGCATGCTGAGAAATAATATTGCTTCTAACAGAGAGAATGGATTATTTTTTTATTGAAATATAACTTTTAGATTTTGGAAAAGATGGAGGTTTATACAAAACTATATATAATTAAGCAAAATGTACAGCTAATTGTGTTTTTGCTAACCTGTTTATTGAGTATTATGAACATAAATTGTATAGTATTAAAAAGTTAATAAAATAGTTCATATTATGTTGCACTAAATTATCTATTAATTAATTAAATAATCATAGATTTTTTAAAATATAAATTCACATAAGTCACATATTATAAATAAAAATTTTCATATTGATATATTTCTCAGACAAATGTTTAAATAATTTGCAATACAATAAAGTAATTTTCTTTTTTTCCATCTTTTCATTAGTTATCTAATATATTTCTCTTTTTAATTAGTAAATATTATGTGTATTGTAAATTAAGTAAATATTGATTTAATTTTATTTGTCAAAACTGATTCCTTAAAAATAATTTAATACTTACCTTAAAAGCTGCTGTAATGGAGCTTAAACATAAAAATTAAAAAAAAATGTAAAAAATACCATATTTTCTTCTTTATAAGATGCACATTTTCCCAAAAAGATGTCTAAAAAATAATTCTGTATTTAATAAGGTGATGTTCAGGTTGGGATAGGTTTAGAAAGCTAAAAGCTGCAATTACTGGCATATGAAAAAAGACCTAAATTCTCTCATTTTAGCACAGAGTACAGTACACTAGCCAGAATGAAATACAAATGATTATACATAAAGAAAATGTGTGAAAATAATTCTTATATATGAATCTAATGGCCACCAAGCTGAAGCAAACCATTTAAAGTATTTATTTTGTTTTCTAATATTAAATGATCAATTTAAGTAGTTATTTCTCTATTTGTTACTGTAAACAAACTAGCATGCATTAATTTCATTCAAACTTACTTTAAATTTAATAGATTTAATAAAATAAGCATAGTGTGATATGAGATAGTCATTATTATTTTATTACAGTGTAAACACAGATAAAACATGTTACATCATAAGTTTTATTAATAATTTTTTAGTTTTATCTGATTATTGTTGAGAACTTTTACTATTATGGCTAAAAATGTCTATTTCAATGAAAGTTGTTTATCTAGACTACATTAAAATTTGATATTACAATTCATATAAAATGTTATCATTATTTTTTTAAATAACCTTTGTTAAATTATGTGTAATCTTATGAAGTGAGGCTTATGGTATAAACTCGGATTTTTTTATCTTATAAACTAATTTTCAAAATACAAAGATCAGAAATAATTGGTAATTAAATGATAAATTTACCAGAAGAGTGATTTATTATATCTTAGCAGTTTAGACTGTTAGAGTATTTCTTGAATTAATAAGAATTTTTGATTTGATTCAATTTGAAGTAAAGGCATTATTTTAGTCTTGATTTCTTTCTTCGAATGGAAATTTTTTGTTTATACTTTATTATTACATTTTTATATTATTTGTTTATTAAAGATATCACTCTTTCTTAATTTCAATCTTATTAGTATCAAATGATATAAAAATGTTTAAGATTAAAAAAATATTTTTTTAATACCAATAAATGATAAGAGTAAGAATCAATGGATCAATGACACTCAAAAAGACATGGCAGAAATGGGCATATCTGAAGAAGATATCCAGAACAGGGAAAGGTTTAGAAACAAAATAAAGAACTTCAAGGGTTTTCAGGAAAAGGAAAATAACAGACGTGGAAGACTCTTCACTCAGGAGCAAAGACAACAGCAGAGCGAGAGAATGAAGAGGTATTGGAAAGAAAGGAAGAAGAACAAAGGGAAGGGAAGAGGGAAAAGCAAGTCATAATTAGTTGTTTGTACGTGGTCCAAAGATGGCCGGAATCGACACAAGAAGAAGAAGAAA